GGGAGCCTGGCCGAGGCAGGAGTCAGCGGCTCCAGGCGGGAGAGGGGCAGTTAGTGCTCACTCTCAAGCTTAGGTTGTGCATTCCAGTGTCCAGTGGGACGAAGTGGGAGGCAAGGCAGCCCGGGTGTTGGTGGAGGGAGTCCCAAGAGAACAGGCAAGCCCCTCCCCGCCCCCCTGCCCCCGGTGTGCTCCGCCCTGGGGGGAGGGGAGGGGAGGGGAGGCCCCAGAAACAGGGGCGTTGTCGGTGGCTGCCCAGCTCTCCCATGTTCCCCCGGGGGTTGCTGTTGAGCCTTGCTCTGCAGCGCTCAGGTGGGCCCTGGGCAGCGACAGGCACCTTGGCTGCTCTGTGGCCCCCTGAGGTGGGGGTCCTCATGGCAGGGCGGCAGCCCGGCAGGAGCTTCTCTGAGGTGTCCTCACTTCCCACTGTCGGCTTTCCCGCATGTGTGACATGCGCTCACATACACACCTCTGGCTCGGGGCTCCAGGCCCGCACTGTGCTCACAGATCTGCTCTCCCTGCTTCGCCTGGGCCTTGGGTCCTGGGTTTCCCGGGGTTGGGCTGTGCGGGACAGGGCTCACGTGGCCCCCGTGTGCGGCTCTGGGCAGGTTCTGCGGGATGGTTCAGTTTCCTGGCAGCGTGAGGAAGAGCGCCCTCTTGCAGCTGTGTCTGCTCCTTGGCCACCGCTTCCCGCCGGTGAGTGCCTGCCCCATTCACATGTGCTTGCCGCGTGGACTTGGGCCCCTGGTGACAAAAAGGCTTGGAAGGCACTGCCCCGTGGGTGTGCCTTCGCGTCAGGCCCCTCGTTAGCACGCCCAGGGTGACACGTCACAGGCAGACAGCCGTCAAGGGGCTCCTGACGTCACTGTACTGGCTTCAAGGAAAGACGTGTCTGGCTGGCATTTCCATGGGCAGTGGGATCTGGCTCAGGAGCTCCCAGAGGACCCAGGCTGAAGTGGTTCAGCCACACCTGGGGGCAGCGCCCTTCACTCCCAGCTCTCCCTGGCCGTTACATTTCTAGGGTTTCTTTTCTTCAGGCTGTTAAAAAAAACCTGTTGATCCAAAGGTGACATTTTCCAAAAACGTGAAAGTAACTTCACGTTATACGGTGGTTCTAGAAGTGGGGTGGCGGACCCTCAGCACCTCTGGGGCTTCAGCAGTGCAGGTTCCTAGGCCCTGTCCTGCTGACTCAGGACCTCCAAGGGTGGGCCGGGGGCTCTGACCACCAGCTCACTGAGACATGATGACAGGTGAGATTGCTTCTCCGTAAGGGAGCAGGTTTGTGAATGGATCATTTAAACAAGAAGGACGTGACCTGCACTGCTGGAGTCTCACTGTGTCTGCGGAGGGAGGAGGTGGTTCATGGCGCAGCTCTGCTGTGGCTGGGAAGGGATGCGGGGTCAGCGCCCTCTTCCTGACACCTGTCACTGAGGGGGCTCCCTGGCCTGGCTCCTGTCGTCTCTGTGGGGTGGGGCAATGGCGTTTTCCTACTGCAAACGCACTGCGTCGCTGTCCCAGATCCGGAAGACCACGGCCAGCCAGGTGTACGAGATGGTGCTCACCTACAGTGACGTCGTGTCTGTGGATGTGTTGGATGAGGTGGTGGCGGTGCTCAGCGACACCGCATGGTGAGTGAAGCCCCTTCCTGCACGGCCACCTGGGCCTGGCACCGCCCCCTTCCTGTCCCCTCCGTGTCCACCTGTCTCTCTCAAATCCTCTGAAAGGAAGAGGAAGGAGGATTCTGGGGCCTCGACAGCCTCCGCTTGGGTTTTACGAGGCGGCAGTGGTGCTGAAGCTGAAGCCTCTTAACCGCCCCGTCCCTGAACACTGTCGAGTGTCAGAAGCAGCAGAGCATCCATCCCGCCAGGGGGACAGCCGCCTTCTTCCCCCCACAAGGCTGTCTGGTGGCCTGTGCACCGGACACCCCCCAGGGAGGCCCCTCTCCAGCTGTGTTGGAATAGGCCGCGTGAGCACCGGGTGGAAATCCAGAGGCACTGGCGGAAGCAGGAGGAAAACCTCTCCCCACGCCTCTGCTCTGAGGTCCAGCTCCTTCCCAGGGCCACGGGCCCTCAGGAGGCCACAGCGCCGCTCTCCATGTTTACTTGGACAGGCGCAGTTTCTGCAGCAGGGGCTGGCTTCCTTACCGTGGGTGGATTAGAGTGGCAGTTTTGAAAGATGCGTGTGTTGAGTGGGGGGTGGGAGAGTCTGAATGAGAAAGTGGAGCAGGGAAAGTGCAGGCTCAGGGGGTGCCCTGGGCCAACCGGGGTGGTCCTGGGAACTGCAGTGATGGTGCCATTCGCACATGGGCATGTGTGCTCCCACACACACTCATGCTCACGCTGGCTCATAAACATGCTCACACACGCACGCTCACACATGCTGGTTCACACGCTCACTGGCTGACAAACATGTTCACATACACACGCTGACACACATGCTGACTTGCACACTTCTCTAAATGGGGAGCAGTCTTGTCACCCCGAGTTGGAGGTCAGGACTGAAGCACCCAGAGGCTGTGTGGGTGTCCACTTGGTGCAGCCAGCCTGGTGGAGTCCCAGGGGTCCTGCCCGTGGACGCTACTATGTGGAGCGCCGACTGTGAGGGCCTCCGTGCTGACCCCAGGCGTTGGTGCAGGTCTGTGGGGTCTGTGCCTCGTCTAAGCCAGCGAGGACGTAGGTGACGCTCCCTAGGTATCAGGTCTGTGGGGTCTGTGTCCCGTCTAAGCCAGTGAGGACGTAGGTGATGCTCCCTAGGTGTCTCCTTGGATTAGGGATCTTCCGACAGGGCTGGATTCCCATGGAGCTCACTTACTATGCAGCTGCTGTGGTCTCGGAGGACAGAAGGTACCTGTTGGCTTCAGAGCTTCTGCGAGGTTCTCTGGTTTGGGGAGGAGTGAGCATCTCTGCCCTTAAACAGAAACACGTGGTCCCAGGAGAAGAGCCGGGAGCAGCCGGGCTGCCGTCTCAACCTCCATTGAGAGGTCGGCTGTCTTAACTACTGCGCTGGAGACACGTTTTTTTTTTTTTTTTTTTTTTAAGATGGGGTTTCACCATGATGGCAAGGCTGGTCTTGAACTCCTGACCTCAGGTGATCCACCCACCTCAGCCCCCCAAAGTGCTAGGATTACAGGCGTGAGCCACCGCGCCTGGCTCTGGAGACAGGTTTTTAAAAAACAAAGCACATTCTGGATCAGATTCTAAAATAATTGGCTTTGGGACAGTGAAGAGGTGAACGCGCTGCAGCCAGGTATGCGGAGCTGGGCGAGGCCTCCTCCACGGGGCTGGGAGGGCGGCCCCTCCTTCTGGAAAGGGGTCAGGCCTGAGGCCGGCTGGAGAATGTGCTCACCTGACGACTGCTCCTTGTGCCTGAGGGCTGGGCCGGTGGCAGATTCTGGGGTGGGTGCCCTTTCCCTGCCTTCCCCTATGTGAGCTGATGCACGGCTCTGCACACCTGAGGGTCCAAGGTGGGCACTGGCCTCACACAAGCCAGGCGTGTGAAGTCAGGCACCCTGAGCCGGGCGAGGCCTCCTCCAGCAGGGCTGGGTGAGGCGGCGCTCCCTGTCCTCACGGGC